GTCTGTAAAATACACTCCCACTGAAGACTGCCACAGTAAATATTGACGATCTAAAATGAGGTTAAAGGTGTTTTCCAGACCCATTTGCCCTTTCATCAATCTTTTTAAATTTTTTTAGTTCTAATTAAAAAAAAATATTTATTTTATTGTAATTTATTAAATTTATTGTAGTTTTTACTGTTTTTAAGTGAATTTGTGAGATTTTGGTAATATAAACAAATGGCACAAACCGCTGATTCTACCATAAACATGGAGATCACCAGGATGACGCACCGGCTCTTATCAGAGGCAGAGCTGTTAGAAACAGATGGAGTTGTTGAACACGAGGTAGTGCCCTCTAACCAGGGAGTTGATGGGTGTGTGCATGGGTGAATCACTGATTGTGTTGTGAAGTGCCTTGGGGGGTTGTAGGACTCTAGAAGGCATCAAATAAAAGCCATTTAACCAGGAGGATGTACAGAATTCACAAATCAGCTGTGCTGCTGTGATTTGTCAAATATTCCATTTATAAAAGGGTTTTAGGCTTTTAACTTGTTCTTTTTTAAATCTGTTGGACTTTTTTTTGTTCTTTCTGGATATTTTGTTTTTCTTGTTTCGCTTGTTCCAGTTCTTACAGCAGCTACTCTACTAAAACTCAGCAAATGAAATGATCTGTTTCTGTGTGATTTAAGGAAGGGTCTGACTAGAACACGAGTTTGTAAGAAGAGTAATTTGTTTCTTTGGACTGACTGACACCAGATCAATCGCTGTGATCATCTAGCTTATCTCAGCTCTTCCTCCTGACGGTGTGTTGGTTCACATCAGATTGTGTCTTCGTCATGACGTCACGCAGCGGCCATCTGCCCGTCCATTCCTTCCGTCCTTGTAAAGAGTTCCTTCCCATTGCAATCAGCTGATTTTCAGAGCCGGTTCCCCTGAACGTTCCACGTGACTCGTTTCCCCAGCTACTGCAGAGCTGTTGACGTGTTTGGCATCATGGGGCTTTGAAAGCATACCCACGTGTACGCGCACATCACAAGACAGCCTACTGAGTCCAGACTGTTTCTGGTAGAGGTCTCCTGAGTCCAGCACTAGATGTTCCTGACGGACTTATCAATAACTTTAGCTCTACTTACTGGTAATACACATGTAGAAAAGTATCAGAATAAAAATCTGGACTCATTTTTAGTTTTTACACCCTTTTACAAATGTCCAGAGCTCCTGCAGCAGATTAAAGTAAGTTTAATCTGTGCTTTTGAAGTTCCAGGCAGTGTTTAGTCTGAATAACTCATCACAAAACAACGTCTGAAACATTTAGCCTCGGTTGTCTCCGGTTTACTTCTACTTGCTGGAGTTCATTGGGAACGTTCTCTAGGAAAACATGGCTGTCAGGAAACAACAACAAAAAAGAGAACTGGAAGAAAAAGCCTCAAAATTACTGAGGATTTTTGTAAAATTTTGGTTTCAGTTAGTTTGTTGGGAAACAACTGAGCACTGCATTTTAAAGGTCTGGTTCCCATAGAAACCATGTAATACTTGTTGAAAATACCACCAGTCACTTTCACATGCATGCAGAACATGAACCCCCCATGGCCTGCATTAGCCGCTGACAGGAAATGGAGCCATTCTATTCCATGTCACTTGGAAAGTTGTCAGTTTTGGCCCTGTTACGTCCCCGACAGGAGGTGTTAAAATGTGGAGGGGGTAACATAGGAAACAATTGTGGGTTTAAAATGGGTTTAATTGTTTATAAAAGGTTCTAAAAACAAGTGCAAACAGATGGAAAGCATTATTAAAATAATGCCAAAGAAAAAAGGGTTAACATTTAAAGGACCAATTTCAACATTAAAAACACCTGGTTAAAACTTATATTAAAAGTTTTACCAAACTGAAGGTGTTTACAAAATCCACAAGTTGATTATCAAAACCAACACACTACAAAATCACTGAGTGTTTTAAATCCCAAAGTCGGTAAACTACCATGTTAAGCTTAAAACGGTCAACCAAGTTGACGTCAAACAAAGATCCTTTTGGATCACTTAGAGTTTTAACTATTAAAGTTAAAACTCATCAGAAACAAAGGGGTTGAAAACAAAATGAGGCCTGGAGGACAGCAGAACCTCTGCACTGCTGAAGGCACAGCCATTTTATCCCAGGTGTGGGTCGTCCGAGAGATTCAGCTCAGCTGTGCTCCTCAGCAGCCTGGAGGAAAGGAGGAGGGGCGGTGTCTGGCTGATCACCGGGGCGGGCTGATCCTGGCTCCTGCAGCTGAAGAGGCCAGGCTGGTGGCCATAACAGCCCCGCCCACCTTGGCTAGTGAGCAAAAGTCACAATGCTGTTAGCCAATTAGAGGTGATATGTTTGCATCATGAATATTAATGATGAAGACACGAGTATGATGCCAAATAGGACTTTGTTGATTTTTAATCTCAGATTCCCCAGATTGCTGGCTCAGAACTTTTGCGCAGAGCTTAATTTCAGACCAAGGTTTTGTTTTCAACACTTCCTCTCTGGACTCAAAACGATCGTCTGATTCTAGAAGTTAAACCAGGAATTCAGAGGAAAGGAAATCACCTGGAAAAACCTTGAGACATAAAATACCCAAAATCTCACTCGCACGCACGCACGCACGCACACACACACACACACACACACACACACAGCTCTCTGAAAGAGCCACATTATGAGTGCTGATGAGGAGAACCAAGCTGGAAAATCTGGATTTATGAGCAGGGGAACAGTTCTCTCTCTGTTTCTCCCTGCTAGGAAAATAAAGGACAATTATAAACAACTGGAGCTGCTTTTTATTTTCTTCTCCTCACAGGACAAAGTTTGTTGGACTCCATGACTTTACAGCCACATGAAACAATTTTTATTTATGCTCCAACATCAAAACAAAGTCAGGGCTGCAAACCAGAAAACTACGGCACAACTATTTTACTACTAAGCTTAAAAGAATAATTTAATTAAATTTTACTGAATTTTTCTGCAAAATAAAGCTTTCGAACATGGTTCTGGTTCTGTAAAGTTCCTGAGTTTTCAGCTTCATTAAGAAAATTACTTTTTCCCATCATTCATGAAATGTTTGGAGTCGATTTTAAAGTTCTTGACTAAAATGCCCTTTGAGCTGCAGTCGGGTTCAACAAGAACGACCGTAGAAATTGTTATTAGGGTTTGGGTTAAAATTCGATTTAAAAGATAAATGTCTTCTTCACCAGGGACGTGTAATCTCATCTGCATTTCACAACCGGAACTTTTAGACTTGTCTGGACTTCAGCATGCCTGTGGTGTGTCACACATGTCTGCATGACTAAGTCAGATTCATCACAGCAGACAGGATCAGGCAGTTCTCTGTAAAATAAATAAAAAAGAAACATCAAAATGGTGGATTTTCCCATAATAAGGGGTGCAAAGCTGCTAATGAACAAATGATACATGAGAGCTGGTTTACTATAATCATTAATTAAAGGTTAATGTTTATGTTTATTTATTTAGCAGATGCTTTTATCCAAAGTGACTTACAATTTATAACCTATAGGGCATGTTGTGATCTGTGGGGGAAACCGGAGTACCCGGAGGAAACTCACGCATGCATGGGGAGAACACGCAACTCCACGCAGAAAGGCCGCAGCCGAGTTCGAACCTGTGACCTTCGTGCTGCGAGGCAACAGTGCTAACCACTGCGCCACCATGCAGCCCATTATAAATTCTTATATTAATAAATGTTATATCCCTAATAATATCTGATTTCCTAGACACCGGTCGTCGTCATCATCAATCGTTTTCGTCTCATGTCTCGTATTTGTCACTCGTCTTCATCGGCACCACACTCAACATTTAAACTGTTTTAAGCTTCATCCTGGAGGTGGGGCTGGGTGTGTGTGTGTGTGTGTGTGTGTGTGTGTGTGTGTGTGTGTGTGTGTGTGTGTGTGTGTGTGTGTGTGTGTGTGTGTGTGTGTGTGTGTGTGTGTGCGCGTGTGTGCGTGCGTGTGTGTGTGCGTGTGTGTGTGTCCGTGTGTGTGTGTCCGATAATGAGGATTTTCTTCAGAACAGTTAGGTCAGACATGAGATGGAAGGGAAGATGAGCCAAATTAGGAAAGTTGGAGAACAAAACAGACTAAGATGAAAGAAGAAGGAAACTGAGGGGGAAATGGATTTAAAAATGAAATGCATGAAGAAATGGAGGGATGGAGGCAGTGGTGAGAGGAGGAGGAGAAGGAGCTTCTGAAGGGATAGAAATGGTCTGAGTTTAATGGGACTTTGTTGTTGCAAGAAATGAATGAATGAGTATGGAATAAACCAAACTTCTCTGAATGCTGGAAGTAAAACACGATGTTTCAAATAATTGTATCCACTGAAGTCTCCTAGTCACTTATCAAGCCAGACCAGTAGTACAGCATCTTTAACTGGAAATCCACAGGAAGAGGAAAACATCCTCTGATTTCTCCCTGCAACTGCTCTACAGCTGATTAACCTCTGGGGTCGCCTCAGTTCAACACGCCCTTTACAGCCGACTGACCTTGGAAAACCCAGAACTGACCATAAATCAGTTTACGTTACAGCTAGTTAACAGATTGTAGTTCAAACCTTTACCATTTAGGTGTTTTTGCTAGGCTGCTAATTCTTCAGGCTGCATTGAACTTATTAACTCGCTTTTGTTTTAATTGGAGCAGATTTATTGGCTTGATTAAAATTAAGGTTTGTCAACACACACACACACACACACACACACACACACACACACACACACACTGTATTTTATTACTTCATGGTCTCTAATGCTGTTCTGAGTGCTTTGGAGAAACTTGAGAATGTAATGTAAGCCCAAAGCTTCATTTATTATAATGTGTGCTTTTTTTTTTCTTTTTTTTTGTATAATTTATATTAAAATAAGACGTGGGTCGAAAGAAGAAAAGTGCAGAAACGTTTTGAATCATATTTTATTTTATCTCATAAATGTTGCAGCTTGAGCGTCAACAAGATGCGCTTGATTTGACTAAATTCTGCTCTGATTGATGCAGGTGCCACCAAAGAGATTGGCTCCGCGCTGACCAGGATGTGTATGAGACACCGAAGCATCGAGTCCAAGCTCAAACTGTTCACCACGTAGGAGACACACACACACACACACACACACACACACACACACACACACACACACACACACACACACACACACACACACACACACACACACACACACACACACACACACACACACACACACACACACCAGCAACAGAATCCTCTGATGTCACATTTACGTGTGAGGACAGACAGGTGAAAGTGTGAATGAGTGTGTTATGACACGTTTTATTTGACAGTATGAGAACCAGACTGTTAATTATCCTCAGCCAACATATGGGCGGACATGACAGCCTGTGTGTGTGTGTGTCTGCCTGAGGAGGACACAGCTGTCCTGACATCACTGCTGCAGCACCACAGTCATCTGTATAGTCTCTGATTGAGGCGTCATGCTCTGCTCACTGCTCCTGCTTCACTCTGACGTTTACGTATGAAGGGAAATGCAACACTGTGCAGTTAATGACAAACCAGCTTTGTGACTCAAGATGGACTTTCACTTTAGTCTCAGTCAGTAAAGAGTAAATTGGACCATAACAGGGTATCTGCGGGTCCTTAAAAAGTCTTAAATTTGCTTTTCCAAATTTAAGGCCTTGAAAATCCTTAAAAATGACAAATAATCCTTAAATCCAGTTTCCAAAGGTCTTAAATGACCAAAGACCAAATAAACAAGATTATTTTATTTCTATAAAATTTTCGTGAATTTCTAGTGTTCAGCATTGTTTGTGTACGATGTTGGCATAAGCGGAACCTTACACGTTCAGTTGGTTGTGAAAGGGGGCTATTTTTAGATGAGCACATTAGCTGGTTAAGCTAGTGGGAGCTTGCGCCATGGGGAAGGGCAAGTTTAATGGTAACTGGATGGCTAATCCCACGTTCTCAACGTGGTTAGCACAGTTTCCAGGCAATAGCTGGAAATTATAGCTTAAATTTAATTTTAAAAATAGCTTAAATTTGGTCAAAGTGGCCTTAAAAAGGTCTTAAAAAGTCTTAAATTTGGCTCCTTTAAACCTGCAGATACCCTGCATAATGATGTCACTTACTACACATTTGAATTTAGTGCAGCCCTTTGACACGTAGAGCACAGCTCTTTTTTATTTTACCCGCTCATGATGGCGGTCCTGAGTTCACTGAGCTTGTTCTAGAAACGGATGGGATGCTGGGAAATGATTAATCCTGTCTAGATTTTAATATTTTGTGTATGGACTCTTCTTAAATTAAATTTGAGTTAGTTGTTGCACACTTTTACAAGTGTAGGTGAGCTTTGAGTGATCGGGGTGCGCACGGCCTTGTGAAAATTCTGGAAATTTCTGGAAATGGTTCATTTGATCGTTTTGTCCATTGAGCTACTGATTAAATTCAAGGGAGTGCACTGATTTATGCACAAAGCACATTACTGTCAGTGCAGGAAAAATAGGAGCTGTGTCTCATAAAAATGATCCTCTTGTTAAAATGAGATATAAATCTTTTAATGTCATTGAAATCTAAGGGTGTTTTTGGTGGTTTATGCCTCTTCCACTTAAACGCAACCTCTCTGTATGAAAAGTTGCCAGTCTGTTGCCTTGGCAACGAGGTGTTCGTGGCGGAGCCAACAGAAGAGAGCTACCGAGCTTAGTTTTATTCATGCACTGTTGTTCTGCGGTTTTCTGCTCGTTGTAGCACTGCTGCCATACATCCTGAAAGTTTAACGTCAACAACTGGAATAACTGCCTCGTTCATTGCCTTGCCACAACATGTAAACACCATTTTACGGTTATGACCCTTCTCGTTACTATGAGATATTAAACACGTTCTCGTTATCGCTAGATACTGTAACTGATCCTATATTTTCTTTCTTGCACTGATGGCTTTACACTTCCGTACAGATGTGATATGTCACATGATGTAATAGTTATTCATCTGTCGTTACTCGTGGACTTCCTCTGGGTTTCTGGGTCCATTTCAGAGAGGAAAAGTTATGTCTGGCATGTCCACTGACTGATAAGTCTATAAAAATGTTCCTTTCCTAAAAGAAAACCTTGGGATCCCTCAGGGACACGTCTACGAACCCTGCTAGTTTTGGTTTCTATGTACATATTGATGAAAGACACAAATATGTGTCTTGTGCAGAAAACTAGACTTTTGAACTCCAATTGCTGTGTTGAATCCTCTCAAGTATCAGTGGTAAAAGCGGCCAGAGCTAGAGCTTAGATGTGTCACAATAAGAGGTCCAAATGGAGCAATATAGCCTTAATTAGTGAATAAATCAATGTATGGAGCATGGACGTAATTTTGGGGGGGGACGGGGGGACATGTCCCCCCCCACTTTTTCCAAAGTCAAGTTTTGACCCCTGCACTTTTTACCATCCAAAAACAACATTACGCTATATTAAACTGGCACTGGTTGAGCTCTAGGACCAAGCGGAAAACAACCGTTTGTGTTGAAGCCTGTTAGAGCATACTGTAAAGACACCCCCCCCCCCCCCCCCCCCCCGTGTCCCCCCACTTCTAAAGTGAACATTACGTCCATGGTATGGAGACTAAAATGTAATAAAATATTAAACAAGAACTGCCAGCTGAAGAAAATTCATAAAATAGATTAAATAATTGATTCAGATGCCAGATTAATGTGGAAAAAGATGAAATTATGTTTAGTTTATGATTTTATTTCACTTAAATGAAGTTAAAGGAGGATCTTTTCTGTCTAGGGCCCTCTCGGAAAGCCTCATCACTCCTCTGGAGCTGAAGATGGAGGAGTGGAAAAAAGTGGCAAGCCAGCTGGACAAAGACCATGCCAAAGGTTCGTCAGCACACACACACACACACACACACACACACAGATGTAGACAGACACAACACTTAATTCATATCTTTGTCTGGCTCAGAATACAAAAAGGCAAGAGCAGACATCAAGAAGAAGTCGTCAGACACAATCAAACTTCAGAAAAAGGTGAAGAAAGGTAAGAAAGGTCCTTTTGTTATAAATTCTGCAGCTTTCAGCTCCGCCAAAGAACACAAGTGTCTACAAATCAACAAGTGACAGTGGGGAGTTTTTGATGAATAAGTAGTACAGTTCCATACCATACCAATCTATTTATGAAGCACCATTTAAAAATAGCATGGCGGCTGACCAAAGCGTTGTACAAAACAAGCCAAGGGCTCAGACGCAACAACAGAAACATAGCATAAAGCTAAGGAATTAGCTAAAAGGTAAAGCATCAAAACACAAAGAAGAGCACTATGCCAGGAAATTAAAGAGAAAACTTTTAAAACCAGCTAAAAACTACTCTAATAAAAACTAAAAGGGCCAAGAAATATTACAAGGTGCAACTAAGAAAGTAACTAATTCATAATAAACTGATCGAGAAAAGGAAAACAGCGTTAAGATGTGCTGATGGGAGAGACATGGCCTCCGAGATCTGTGCACTTCTTAGGGTAAAGGATCATAGAGGGATGGCGAGGCTGAAGAAGTCTGTTTTACAAGCAGACTTGGACCTTCTGAGGGAAGGAGCCAAACTAACATGGAGGGGGAGAGAGATCCAGAGTTTGCTGAAAAAAGACCTGACAGTGGCGTTGACTTGTGAAGTCATTGAGAGGTTAGAAACAAGTTCTAAACATCAGACGTGAACAAGAAAAGCTTCCTGTGAGATAAACAACAAACACAAGACGTCTTTGTGATCCTGCTTGTTCTTGCATCAAGCACATGTGACTTTGTTTAGATGTCAGCCGTTTGATGTGAGGTGACTTGAATTGAAGATGAACTAAATGTTCTTTTTGTCAGTTAGAACCCATTTTGGATGCGTTTCCTCAGCAGACTGGAGATAAGAGACTTGTTTACCAGAACCAGAGAAGAGCAGCTGACAGACAAACATCGATCTGCTGGTGCCGTGTGGACACTAGGAGTTGGTTTTGGTGTTTGTTGTTCTTGACTTTGGACTTGTTTGTGTTGACTTATTCGACCTACTTTCATCGCTTTATCAGCACTGAGTCAGAGCAGCAGATAGTGTCCCGAAGCTCGGTTTGCGTTTAGAGTTTGAACTGCAGCAGTTCTTGGACCAGCTCCAGGCCTACTGGTTGGAGCATTTCCACAGAAACCTGCCCACAGACACCTGGACCACACCCTCCACTGCTATCAAATCGACACTCCCTACTGTTGCCATGGCGATGCTTTGCTGTTGCGTCCTATAATTTAAAAAGCTTTAAACCCTGACATGACAGCTCATCTGGGAGAGAATGATGTCGGCTTCAAGTAGAAATAGAATAAAGAGATCAAACATCCATTTTTACACATCACAAAACACAGAATCCAAACCAAAAATGAAGGTCTGAGGCAAGTTTACCATGAAATCTGATCCATAAACACACACACAGAAATAGTTCATGCACACATCACAGGTCTGACTGCAGATCCGCCCAGGAAAAACGTCTGATGTGGGCCGAGCGTCTCTGGGCAAAGGTTTTTATTCCACATCAGTCTCCTTCTGAACCAGAACTGGTACTCTTCTGTTCAGATTATTCTTCTGATCACAAACCAAGAAGTGAGAGAGTTAATCCCAGGGGTGGGTCTACTTCAGGTGGCAGTTTTTGAATTTAATACAAATAACTGAAAACGCACGCACACACGCACGCACACACACACACACACACACACACACACACACACACACACACACACACACACACACACACACACAAACACACACACACACACACACACACACAATCTGACCTGTTGCGGAAAAGACACACGTAATCCAGATTATCTAGACCACTTTGTTTGAAGGTAATCTGAAATGGGCTCTGTAATCCAGCTGGTGACTGTGATAACTGAATTGAAAGTTCTATTTTTTTCTTTTTTAAATGGACATTTTTAGTCGCAGGTTTATTAATGATGAGTAAATAAATGGAACTGGTTTGGATAAAATAAAGATGAGATTAATGAAATATCTGAGCCAGATTAGGGGGCTGGTATCTGTCCCTCTCATCATTCTTCCTTGTATCTCCACTTCCTGCCTATAGATTATTTTCTGTCCTTGTGTTTGGTTTGGTTTGAATTTAGCAAAAACACCAAAACCCTTTTCAGCCGTCGAGCCTCATGGATCTCATGTTCTTCACGACAACCGTAGTTGTATCCCTGCCCCGTGTCCCCATACGGTCTGTGCATACTCACCAATCAGGGCTCCACGTAGTAATTATCCCTGCAGTGACGCCGTGTGGGTGAGCCGGGATGTAAAGATAATAAATAACAGCTGGAGCTTTTATTTAAAGCTTGATGTTGTGGGTCTGGCGACATCGCGTTGCTTCAGACAGAATCAGAAACTGATCTGGACACTGAAGACGTTTCCCATCCAGACCTTCAGAGAGACAAACTCCTTCATTATGCCGTTAGGCCGCGCTGAGCCGCTGAAACTGAGATGGTTTATCAGACTGTACGGAGTTAAAAAAGCTAAATCAGCATTTCCATATTGGTTGCTTCAGATTTATCCAATTGGATGTTAAAAAAGAACATTTGAACCTAAAATGTAAGGGCTGGATTTATTAGTTTGGGCTGGATAATAAAGAAATTCAGGACTTTGTAGGTCTGTTGAGAACTGGTGTTAAAATATTTCTATAAAAATAAAATACTAAAGATTTTAATAGTCTGAAGTTCTCCTCTTTTTCTGTGTTTGTGTAAAAAGATGAACACAAGTAAAATAAAGAGATTTACAAAGAAAATTACACAAACAAATGGATCCAAAAACTTTCTGCTCAGAAGAACAAAGGATCAACATGGATGGAGGATGCGGGTTGAAAGTGGAGGGATGAGATGATATCAGAGATCTGGGAGGGAAACAAACTCAATGGGAGGGGAATTAAACAAAAAAGATAAGTTGGAGAATACCGGCTCAGAGCAATAGAAAGTTTTTATGGAAAGTGGAGAGAAGCTGGAGTTTAAAGAAAAACCAGAAGTAAGGACAGGGATTCCGTGGGGTCTTAAAAAGTCTTAAAAGCATTGAATTTAGGAATCTGGAAATAATACCTCAAAAACACTTTTAAAAGTCTTGAATTTTGACAACTGGGTCTTAAAATTTGTAATGGATGTAAATTCTCCGGACCGTATTTGTCCTCTAAAGTTTCATTTGTCAACCACAATCATTTTTATGATTGGTTTGGGGCGACGGTGGCACAGGAGTTAAGTGCTCGCCCCGTAATCGGGAGGTTGCAGGTTCGAGCCCCGCTCAGTTTGTCACTGACATTGTGTCCTTGGGCAAGACATTTAACCCATCTTACCTGCTGGTGGTGGTCGGATGGACCGGTGGCGCCTGTGTACGGCAGCCTCGCCTCTATCCGTGCGCCCCAGGGCAGCTGTGGCTACAATGTAGCTCACCCCCACCAGCATGTGTGTGTGAATGACAGATAGTGTTGTGATACAGCTGTGATACAAAACGGTACAACAGGCCTTCAGCAGAGGAGAAACGTGGAACATCTCAGCAGACCAGGAGAAAGGTTGACTGACGCCAAGGGCTGGGTGACCTCTTTGGGACTGAGTGAAAACATTCGGTAGATACAGAGATCAGAAAAAAGTTTTAAAATGCCCCAATGTGCCGCCGCGGGTCACCTGACTGATCCTGAGTCATGTTATGAGTGGAGGAGATGCGTCTCCTTTCAACAACACGTCTCTGCAGTTCGTGGATGAAAATGCTAAAAAACTCAAACATTTGGGTTTGTTTTGCTGAAGTAAACAGCGGCTAAAACCAACACCGACGAGAAGAATTGTGCTGCGAAAATCAGGTCTAGCAGCAATTTAACAAAGTACCTCGTCGTGCAGGGCATCATCTTGAGAGCTGAAACACGGAAAGTCTTTGACTGCAAAAAAGTAAATCCATGTCCATCACCTTCCAAAACACTGGAGGAGTCTGAGGATGGAGGCTGATAAAAGCAGAAATAGGACATAAAACCAACTTAGCTGCTGGTAAACAGCAGCTAAGTTGTAGTTCAGCATTGTTGTTATTACTGCTGTTACTGACATGAAGGGAAGCATTAATGAAGGCCAGTTTTATACATTTATTTACATTTTGACTCTGTTATATTTTAAATGTTTGTTTTACGCTACCTAGCTAGCCTTTCTGTGAAAGCTCAACCCGCTCTGCTACGGTTCTCTACCTAGTGTTTTGGCAAAATATTAAAAAAAGAAAGATAAATAAATGAACACAAGTTCAAGGTTAAATATTTTTCCCCGTTAGAGCTGTGAAATAGGTATTAATTTTGTATTTAAATGGTCTTGAAACGGTCTTAAAAGGTCCTGAATTTGACTTGGCCTGTAGGAAGGAACCCTGTAAGGAGTGAGAATGTTGAACAAAGAAGACAGAAGAGAGAAATGAAACCTGCCGGAGGGTAAACATTTGCATTTCAGTCCAGGAGGTTTTTGCATGAAGGTCCTTTGTTTAATCCTGCTGCAGAGAACAACATTTTTACTTTTAATTCTGATTAAACTCCCCTCCAGGAGTCTCGGACTCCTGCGTGTCACTGTGATGTTTGAGGAATATTTACTTACAACAGTTAGTTCGTATTTAGTTTCCCAAGAAAGAAAACAAATCTCCTTTTGTTTTCTGGTTATTAAGATTCATCTAAATAAACAACACAGCCCTCTAGAACAGAGCAACGCACCTGGTGTCACTTTTTAAAATGATTGGACTAGCGTAGCTGATGGCAAATATTTGGACACGCCCTCCAGCCGTGAAAATCAAATCAAGACGGAAAAGATGAAAACAAATTCAGCTTTCCTCCAAACAGCAGAGCTGAACTGAGGTCTGGTTGATTTATCGCCACAGAAAAGGAATGGGAAGCAGCAGCTGGGATTTAGTTCTCTGGACGGGTTCTGTGGGGTTGTTCTTCCCAGCCCGGAGCAGGGGGCACCCGGGTCTTACAGCACGTTTATGCAAAAACAACTTCACTAAAACGAGGACTAATAATTATTATT